ACTGTGATCCCTCGGCCATTTGCCACGATAACGAGCAGTCCTTCTCATGCGAATGCCCCGCAGGCTTCGTGGACAGGTCTCCCAACAAAATGCATCGTCCTGGGCGAGTCTGCGTGAAGCTGGTGAGTTTACGACCACTTCATGAGAGACTGTGAGAGATTCGCTGACGTTTTCAGGTGGATGAGTGCTCAACTGGACGCCACACGTGCAGTGCTCAAGCGGATTGTCGTGACCTCGAAGAAGGTTATACCTGCGAGTGCCGCGAGGGATACGTGGACCGTTCACCTAACCTTGCTGGTCAACCCGGACGAGTTTGCAGTGCGCCAGGTTTGTCGTCAATATCAAAAGTGTCAAACTTCTGACTAACAGAGACTGTTTCAGAGGTGTGCCCGTCGAATCACGACTGCAGTTCAGCTGCAGTTTGTGAGCCTCTGGGAGGTAACAAATACCAGTGCTCCTGCATCCAGGGATACGTCGATCAATCTCCCCAATGGGCAAAGAGGGCGAATCTGTGTGAGAAGTAAGTCCCAGTTTTTTTTTTCTAGTCCCGATTTTAGCGCTAAACCTCGGTATTCTCAGATAACGCATGCCGAGATCCCAAGCTGAACACCTGCTCACGGAATGCAATTTGCTACGATGAAGCCAGGGGCTATCGATGTGAATGTGCTCGAGGGTTCATCGACCGATCGCCTGATCCAGCGCTACGTGGACGAGTTTGCGAACCGCCACCACCACCAACACCTCCACCTCGTCAGTTTTTTCATTTCTTATGCTTTCAAACTGTCTTCTCCAGTCATGAAGTTCATTTTCAGGCCATCCCTGCCAAGATCCGACTCTCAACGATTGCCATGTAGCTGGTTCTTGTAGACTGATCCGACTCTCAACGATTGCCATGTAGCTGGTTCTTGTAGAGCTACTGGAGCGCAGTCATACACTTGCGAATGCCTCCAGGGATACGTCGACAAGTCGCCTGATCCCAAGAAACCAGGACGTCTCTGCATTCTTACGGAGCCCGTTTGTCTCGATAAAAGGTGTGAAAAGATGATATTAGGCTGCTGACACATTTTGTAAAATTATAATATTAGACGTTAACACTAAAGACACATTATATGATTAGCCAATTCGAAGGAGTGGTTAGCGCTAGGTTACTAGGTTCTCCAACAAACATCTGGCTCCTTTTCCACAGTTAGAAAGGGTATAGCAACAGACTGATGACTTAAGATCGAGAACGAAGTTATTTAAGGCGTTTTCAACGGCTTCTGGTCCCACCTAAATTGCGGGGAACCCTTAGCACTAGAAAATCCACACTTGAACAATACTGCGTACAATTTGCCATCACGGGATTAGCCTCTAAACATGGGGATTTGACGCGGCTGAATAGATATGCTCATATCTCGAAAAAGAGCAGGGCGTGGTAGTTGGCCGCGGGTGCAGGTGAGATAGTCTGAATTGGGGTGATGTAATTATTCCTGTGCACAGCACAAGACAGTATTGCAGCTCTCTCGAATGGAAAGTTTCTTCGAAAAACGCATCCCACG